CTTACTTACAATTTGCAAGCCACTTTAAAAGATTTAAAATAAAAACAGCTAAACAAAAATAACAATGTTCACTCACTATTTTAATTTCTCATATAAATAAATTAAATTATTAACTTTTAAATTCTTTTTGGCAACAGTGAGTAGCCTAAAAATGTTAATTTTAGGCTACTCACTGTTGCCTTAAAATGATTTCAAATGCAGCCAGTCTACAGCATCAAAGAGAAAGCACCATTTGAAACAACAATATAAAGAATTAGAGGGTACAACTTATGTTAAGATTGATACAAATACTAGTGAGGACTCCTCTCATGATTCTGATTTTAATTCTGGAGAGTGGTTTGAAAACCTTTTCAACAAAAAGTCACTGCTGAAATTCCCATAGACGTTTTTGCTGGTAATGTAACTCTTATGGCTATATTCAGTGATATTTCTTCAAGTGTTTTGCATAAAGTTACAGGTGCAATTCTAGCTCAATCAGGAGCTGATCTGACAGATTTTAAATGCAGCAGGGTTGGCAAAAACCTGTTTTTTTTTTAAAAAAAACCCCGGCCAAGTGGTTTTTTTTGGGTAATTTTGGGTTTTTTTATTTTATATTTTTGTTAAAAATTTTTTTTGTTTGTTTAATAATATTGAAAACTAATATCATTTTTAACTTTAAGTTTATTTAAAATATATTTTCTATGTTTTTAAAATTTATAACAACACCTTAAATTATTTTCAATAAGTTTTTTTTAATTACAGTTTAAAAAATGTAACAAAATAAAAAAAATTTATGATAAACCTATATGTATTGATTTATTTTAGATTTAATAATCTTTTTTATAACTAAAAATGCTGATGGGAAGTAGGAGAAAGAAAGCTGGAGAATGGGATAAAGTGACTGAAGTTGAAAACAATAAAAAGGTTTCTTGTGACTATTGTCATGCTTTGATTAGCAACAAGATAAAACAAGTAAAATCCCATTTAAAAAATTGCCAAAAAAAATTTAAGTTTTTACACAGCATACAGAAGGGGACAATCTCAATTTGTAAATAAAATAAATAAATAAATAAATAAAAATTGTGATGATGTACCAAATAATGATTTAAATATTAGTGCATCTGCTCTAATAGCCATGGACCATCATCTCAAGTTGGAAAAAGTTCTTTGGCATCAGTAAGTTCTATAAGTTCGTTAACACCTTGTAAGAAGCAGCCGTTGATGTCATCATACACAATATCAACTAATATGGAACAGAAAGAAAATATTGATATAAAAATAGCAACATTCTTTTTCAGTACAAATTTATCATTTAAAACTTCTGAAATCAAGAATTTATAGACATGATCAATTCATTGAGACCAGGATATAATTCACCTAACCGTAAAATGCTTGGAGGAGAGCTCTTAGAAAAAATTTATGAGGAAGTAAACAAAAAAATGATGGATCAACTTACCCAAGAAGAAAAAACAATAACAATTATGCAAGTCAGATGGAGTAGTGTTACTAATGATCCCATCATTGCTCATAGTGCATATGACGGACTTAATTCTAAAATTTTATGCATTACTGATTGCATCAAATAAAAAAATAGCCAAGTATTGTACCGAACTCCTTTGTAATGCCATTAAAGATCTTAAAGAAACATACAACAAAGAAGTATTCGCTGTGGTAACAGATAATGAAAATAAAATGAAAAAAATGAGGGATTCAATCAAAGAAACGTATCTAAATCTTTTAACATATGGGTGTTTTGCACATTATTTAAATCTTTTAGAAAAAGAAGTAACACATCCAGATGTCATCAAACATGTGGTAGAAGTGCAGAAATATTTTCGCATTACACATCAACCGCATGTAAACATTATTTTGTATTTTTGGGTTAAACTTAAAGTATAAAAAATAAATAAAAGTTTAAAATTAACTATTCAATTTTTATGTTAAGGAATGATTGGGTGAGAAAGGAGGGCATATGCCTCAGTTACCAAACGATACCTGATGGAACTCCCTAATTGACTGTATAGAAACATACATAAAAAACTATCAAATTTATGTAGAAATAGTAGATAATCATGATATATTTATCAAAATCAGAAAAATTATTGAAAATCGAGCAATATTTAGAGAAGCTAACAGTCTTCAAACCCTACTCAAAATATTTGGTGTTGTTTTAGATCAAGCATTTAACTTTTTTATATTAAAGTCTTTTTACATAATAAGATTTTGTAGGTGTAAAGGAAAAGTAATAAAAACGAATATGTTATGTTGATTAAATAAATTAAAAATTAAATTTTTTCTAGATGCAAAGTGACAGCTGTCACCTATTCGAAGGTGTTAAATTATGGCTCTCACTTCTGAACAACCCTGAACTAAGTCATTACCACACAGCTATCAAAAAGATATGTAATGATGCTATGACACCTATCCATTATCTTGCATACATGACCAATCCTCGCTTTTTGGGTAAAAATAAGTTTTGCTTTAAAAAATTGTTTTCACACCTATATGCTAATCTGAAATGTTTTTTTTATATAGGTAAAAACCTGCCGATTGAAAATGAAGATGAGGCTAAAGAATGGCTTTTCAATCATTATCCTAATTTTGTACCTGGGTTGATTTGCTTAAATTAAAGTATTGTGATGCATTTCCTAAGAGGATGTTGAGCAATCAAATTATATCAACAATATTGTGCAGTGATTGGTGGTCTATCATTAACCAGAGAAATAAAAAATCAATTCAGAAAAAATTGCCTGAAAGATTTTGCAAATTTATTTCTAAACTTCAAACGTGCCCTGCTAGCTCAAGATCAATAGAAATAATATTTTCTTTGCTTGGTTTTCTCTGGTCAAAGGTTGAAAATAAATTAGGATGTGAAAAGGCTAAAAAGCTTGTGCAAATATATAGACAGTATCAAAAATAGAGAGTTGTATTTGCTAGAAGTATACCAAAAATTTAATTAGTCTTGTCAATGTGTAATAATTTGTTTTGTTTCCAAAATAAAATTGTGTTTAATAAAAAATTTGTGTTAAAATTGAAAATTTTCCTTTATAACTAGCTCTATAATATGTTTATGTTTTCAGAAATGTTGGGTAATAATAGTATATATATTATTATATATTAACATATATTATTAATATAATAGTTTATAAGATTATAGATGTATTTCAAAAAAACCCAGATTGTCTGGGTTTTATTAGGTTTTTTTAGACAGGTTTTATTGGGCGGGTTTTTTGATGCCAACCCTGGTCTACAGCAGCTAGGAAAAAGAATTATGCCAATTGTAATATATGCATGATAACAAAAGAAGATGTTCAGCAAGCAAAGAATGAATACCCATACCCATGCATAGTGATGGCAAAACATTTAATGAACTAAAGAAAGGAAAAGCAATTAAAACTGATAGACTGGCTGTACTTGTAAATATTGAAGGCGAGACATACTTGCTTGGAGTACCTTCTTTAACATCATTCTCTGGTGAAGATCAGTGCAATGGTGTAATGGGCCTTCTTAAGAGGTACAATCTTAAAGTTAAAGTTGGAGGAATTTGTTTTGATACTACTGCAACTAACACTGGGTTAAAGAAAGGTTCTTTAATAAGAATATCCGACAATATAGGCAAATGTCATTTACTTATTACATGCAGACATAATGTAGGTGAATTAAGAATGGTTCATTTTTGTAATTCAGTTTCAGATGAACATTCCACAGGACCAGATAATAAAAAACTGTTTTTGAATGTCCTCATTTTAATTACAATCAAACAGAACTAATAAAGTTTGATCGGAAAACAGTAAGGAGAACCTTTCTTGAGAAACCTGCACAAGAGTCTTTGAACTTTTGTCAAGAATAAATTACAAAGGGAAAAGATTTTATCAGAGAAAATAGAAAAGAGCTTCCAGAACTTGTTGTGAGTTAACTTTCTCTGTTTTCAGTAAAACTAAGAAAACCCGGAGCAGTTTATCATGCTAGGTTCCTATCCAAAGCACTTTACTACTTAAAGCTACAGCTTCTATCCAGCCAAATTGAGTTCGCAAATCAGAACAATAAACTCAAGACAGAAATCAGGCTAATAAGTGAATTTACAGTTTGCTTTTATGTTAAATGGTATTTACTGGCTAAAAAAAATGGTATTTTAATACAGCTAATACAGCTATTAGAGCTCCCTTTCTTGATATAAAAGCAATGCTACAGTAACGAAAACTTTATGCCAATCCAGATGCTGTGGATGCAGTTCTAAACTCTCTATACAAAAATAGTTGGTATTTAAATTCAACAATGGTTCCTCTTGTTCTGTTGGATGATGATTTGTCATTTGAGGAGAAAGCAAACCTTGCCAAAGTAATTCTAACTTTTAAAATGCCGATTTCAACTTGGTACAATACTTAAAATAAATCAAAAATATATATAAAAGATAACACAAAAATGGGAAACGAAATTAGTGAAATTCCTTCTTCCCTTACTCTGTTGGTTGATGAATTTTCATGCCTTATGCTTGATAGAATTGGATTAGAGGAACAAAGGATAAAATATTGGCTTTCGCTTACCGATGAGTATTAGTTTACTCAATCTGTTTTTAAAAACCTTCAGAACTATGCCAAATCTTTAATTGTAGTAAATGATCATTCAGAAACATCTGTTGGAATGATGCAGCAATTCATTAATTGATACAACAATGAGGAAGATAAACAGAATACATTGCTAACTGTTGAAAAAGTTTGGTGTGTATATAATAAAAAAAAATATATAAATAAAAAATAATAAATAAATAATAATAAATAAAAAACTATCAATTGCATAATTATTTGGAAAAAATATATATATATATATATATATATATATATATATATATACATATATACATATATATATATATATATATATATATATATATTATATATATATATATATATACATATATATATATATATATACATATATATATATATATATATATATATATATATATATATATATATATATATATATATATATATATAAAATGTTAAAACAGAACTGATTACCTATGTGCAATAAAGCTTTTTCACTAGCTTCAGTTCTATGAACATTTGCAAGTTGGCCTAAACAAAATCGATTTCCACCATTACCAGAAGCATCTACATATCCATCAACTGTCACTGAAGGAGCCTTGTGTGGCACTTTAAAAACTTCTCCAACTTGTTGATCGAGTTCATAATAAGCAATCGAACACCAAAAAGCAGGTGCTAGAACAACAACAAAATACTTTTTTCAAAAAATTTTCATTTTAATAGTAATAATACATTTTCTTTCAATACAAAAAGTACAAACAATAATGAAATATCTTTTTTAAAAGTTTTTTGTTGGAACTATTTTTATTTCTGGTTTTTTAAAACACTCTTTCCAGTAGGTTGACATGAGATACAAACTGTTAAATAACGAAAACAAATTTAAAATTTTTTTAACCTTTTTTTAAAACATTCCAATTGCTTACAATTTTAGAAAATGAAGGGGTTCTAAACTTTATACAGCTATATCTTAAAAAACAAAAAAGTTCATATAAATTAATCTCAACAAATTACATCTGTTGACTGATAATTTGTTTTAACTAAGAAAAATTGTTTGAAAGATATATAAAGTTAATGAACCCCACATATTTTGAGTATTTTACAGTTTTAGAAAAGTTCAACAGTTTATTTCAAGCCAACCTTTTGAAAAGATTAGAAAAAAATAAATAAAGTAAAAATAACTATAACTGTAAACCTTTACAAAACAGTACATAAACTTATTTGTACAAAAGATTAATTTACTAGCATGTCTTGTTAATAGTCCTGTGCTTCCTGAATGCATTGAACGAGAATATGAGTCAACACGTGGTTGATCAGGAGGATTCCCTATAATTAAAATTACTCCTAAATCAAAAAAATTTTAATTTAATTTTTAAAAAATTTACTAGAAAAAAGAGAAGTAAATCTCTGATAAATTTTCATATGAAAATTTATCAGAGATTTACTTCTCTTTTTTCTAGTAAATTTTTTTCTAGTAAAAATTCTCTTTTTTCTAGTAAAAATTTACTAGAAAAAAGAGAAGTAAATCTCTGATAAATTTATATTGTAAACTTTTGAAGAAACAACATGTGTACTAAACGCCACCCCACTTTATTTGAAAATAATTAGATATAAGTTTTGTTACTCAGTTGATTGGTGACATCAACTACTTTTTTGCCAACCATTTTGAATTTTGAAGCCAACAAAAACTGTTTCTAAGTAACTACCAATGGAAAGCAATTAATATAAAAATACCACCATAGCATTTTCACATTTTTAAGCAACCTAGTGGTACTATTTTTGTGCATTGTAAAAAAGTGACCTTGGGTACACAGGTGTCCCTACAAAATAGTTTTTACTTTATTATCTTAAATAAAATTAAAAAAATAAATCACAACTAGGTGTTAATACACACAGAAGGAAGGTCCAGCTGTTACTGCAGAGCTTGATTGAACTGGAAATGGCATACTAATTCCAGTCTTTGGATGAAGACTTGATTGTGAGGAAATATGATCTACTTCTGGTGACCAACTAGGAGGAGGTACACTGCTTCCTACTATAATCATAAACATCTGTATAATATTACAAATACTTAATTATTTATTCTTTTTTTTTAAATGTAATTATATAATATACTGTTTACTGACTTGTGTGAGCAAAGCAAAGTTTATGTATTATTCTACTAAACTTTTGTGAGTCAAAAATGCAATGCATTTTAAAACATCTTTCTCACTACATTATTTTTAGTAAATTAAAAATATTTTCTCAAAACAGATGGATGCAGAGAATATTACAGATAAATTCTCAGGTAATCAAGGATCTGACCAGACAAGTTTAGAAAAGGGGTTTAAAACTAAATGTTATATAAGTACCTGATGTGATATCTGCTTGTTGTAAACTATTTTCTTCTATTTTCAAAGGCGGATCTAAAAAAAAATTCAAATTGTTATTTCAAGCATCTAAAGTTATAACATATTGTAAAATTATTCATAAAACAATTACTAAGAAAACAACAAATTACTAAGGAAACAACAAATTATTAAGGAAACAACAAATTACTAAGGAAACAACAAATTACTAAGGTAATTTCAAAGAAAACAATTAATATGGTAAAATTAACAAATTTAAAACAAACTGATTCTATCTGGAGATCCTGGAGTAACATTTTTTGGTGTATGAACATTTATTGACTTTGATAGGCTTGGGTACAAATTTGAAACCGGAGATTGTATTGAACTTGTAGCTGGCTGATCATTAGCAGTCGGTACAGAAAAGCTGTGCTGATACACATTGTTAGGAGATGTTATACCTACATCAACAGAACTAGAGTGACTACTTGTTTTCTGATGAGATGAACTTGTAACAGTTATTGGGTGCATAGGATAGATCGTATTAGAAACAGTGGAAGCGCTAACACCAGTGTTAGATTGACTTGAAGATCTACGTAAAAATGATACACTTGATTGAGAAAAAGATGTTTTACTCCTGTCTGTAAGGTCATATACTGAATGTGGGTAATGATATGGACTTGGAATAGGTGAGTGCAACTGACTTTGGACACTATGATGATGAATATCTGGATTATACATTAAAGGAATATGCCGACTATGTTCATCGTGTAACATTTGATCACTTATTCTTCGACCATCAATTGAAGCTCTAGAGTGTGGTCTGCTATCAATTAAACCATGCTGTTGTTGATAGGCATGTGCATGATTGTTGCCATATTGTAGAGAACTATTATGGTTGGAAAAACCTAAAAATATAAACACAAAAACAAAAAATAATTATCTCTTAAATAAAAAACAAAACATTTTTTGATTCTGCAAACAGATTTACTTTTCATATAGTAAACAGGGTTATTACTGCATCTCTTCTAGTGAAGGAATGTTTTTACTTATTGTAGATAAAACGAGAAATTTAAAAAACTTTCTATATAGGGAAAAACATTCTATATAGGAAAAAAACTTTTTGTATATGACAAAACTTTTTATAAAGGGCATTAAATATTGTTGAATTGGAGTAATCCATTAAAATTTAAGCAGTGTAAAATAATTTGTGTAATAATAAAACTAAATATTAAAAAAATACTTTTATAATAACAATAAACTTCATGTAACTAATAATCAATTTTTTTTTTCAACTTTACTTCAAGTTATCGTGAATTTCTATTTTTGTATTATATATATAAAGTTAAAAAAAATGGAGCATGCTCTCTACCTAAAACTATTTTGGTTATGAAATATTACTTTAAGTAAAGTACCTATAGCTTATTTTTAATTAATGAGGTACCAATTATATTCTTTAAAACCTGTAATTTTTTATTTTTTTTTATTTTTTTAATTTTGCTAATAAAACAATAATAAAATATTGAAATCCAATAAGTTTTGGTTTCCTAAAAAAATTTAAGAGTATATAAAAAACCTGAAAAACTGCCTTTATCCCAAAACTTAAAATAGCGATTGCCTGTTGAAAAAACATTTTAAAGAAAAAACATTTTAAAGAAAAAATATTTTTAAGAAAAAAAATTTCATTAAATACTAATTTTAAACAAATTTGCTTAAATTCATGATCAGGCTCAACAAAAGACTTTGCATATATAATACTTGATAGTACCTGTGTGAGACTGCATCATGCCTCCATGACTATGTTGTCGATTTGGAGAAATATGTACTGGAGAAGGATGGATTCCATCCACATAGTTTTGTGACATATCATGTTTATCATGATGTATAGACTGACGTGGGTTAATATGATGCATAGAATGGTCATCATGATAAATCTGCTGATGAACAGGCTGATGAATTGGACGATCAAGTTCTGGTTTAAGCGGAGAGTACATGCGAAAATTCATTCCAGAAGAAATTGATGATCCAATACTTGGCATACCAACTTAAAAAAAAAAAGAATCAAAAAATAGAAAAAAAGAAAACTACTAAAAATAATTTTATACAAATTAAAAAGTATAAACTATGTTTGTAGTTATCTAATTATAATTATTTTTTTCAATTAACCTCCATAAGATGGCATATTTGTTGGCTTAAAATCATTCCCAGTGGGACTCATTGTATTAGAACTACCATCTAAAATAAAAATATTTTAATATAACTATGAAAAATATTTGTTACAACTTTTAAAAAACTTATATTATCACTTTTGCATAAACTTATATTATTACTTTAAATTAAAAAAAAATAAACACAATAATTAAAAAGGAAGAAAACTAATTGCTTTGCATAATGGTTACAAACTTTGCTGAATGGTTACAATAATTATATTAAAAATAAATTATTAAATCAACATACAACTAAGAACAACAAATGTTGGGAGAGAAATTTTAATATTGGTGTCTAGATGCATTAAAAACTTTTTATTTATATCTGTAACATCTTTTAAAAGTATTTTTGAAATTTTCAGTTTTTTTTTTTTAAAAATTTCATATCCAATTTTTTGTAACCTTTTTGTAAGTTATTTCAGGCAAAATATTTGAAATCTATTTACAGATGAACCTATGAAAAAAACTAGCAAATTGTTGACATAAAATCAAAAAATAAACAAAAATACATACCAGATTGCTGGGATATAGATAATGAGGATATATCTATAATGAAGATAAAAGTTATCTGTCAAAGCACCAACCAAATATTTAAAAATGTATTCTTAGTTTCATTACACTAAAGAACAAATCATAGTATAATAAATTCTCCAATAAAAAAAAAAATAATTAATAAACATTTACAAGTTTAAACAGAAAAGCCTATGTAATTAACCCCCCCCCCCCCCTTATTTATAATAAAATATATTATTAATAAAAAAAATTCTTTAATGCTCACTGAAACCCAGCTAAAATGAAACTTAATAATTCATATCTATAAAATGAACTCAAACTAATTGCAATTTATACTTTGAATAAAAATAATGTAATAATTATTACTGTTGAAGAAAAAAGACACAACCTTTTATTTCAAATAATTACAAGGGTACTTTTTAATATATCATAATTGAAAAAAATAAAATTAAAAAAAAATACAAGGGTACTTTTAATACTTATTGTCTTTTTTACATAGAATGCTTCAAAAATACTAAAGGCAGATGGATTTTAATAACAAGAATATATGAAGAGCAAATGAAAAGACCAAAAAGAAAGAAATAAATAATTCAATTTACTCAAATATGCTATAAATGAATAAAAACTCTGTGAATAAAGAAACAAAACTTGTACTTTAGATTGAAGGTTTCTAACTATGATTTTTTTCTTCTACTTTTCTTCAAGTTTAATCTTGAAAAAAAAATCACTTTCATAAAGTTTAACTAAAGACTATAAATTTTATTGAAATGCACTTATTTAGTTTGCCTAATATAGCAAAAATATGAAGAAAAAAAAAACATAAAAAAAAAAGGTAAAAAAAAATTTTAGAAACCCTTGTCACTAAAGGTATCAACCTAAAATTAAATTTCAATTTTTTAAGTAAATATTAAAACTTATTTTTAAAGTTTTTTAAACATAAAGTTATAACTTTAAATTGTAAATTATTTAATTAAAAATCATTTAACTAAGGTTTACCCTTTTGATGAAAGAAATTCATTTTATAAAATATTTAACAAACTATAAATTTCTTAAACACCTGACCTGGTGAAACAACTCTTTCATAATGATATGGATTAATACAAACATTATCACACTTCAAATCAAATGCATACTGGCAGTATGAGTTATGTTTGAGCTCATTTTTATGTAAATCAGGCCAACGCCAAATTCTAAAAAGAAACAACTTTGCCAGATTATGATATTAAATTTAAAAAATTCAAGAAAAATTAAAAATTTTTAATTTCTAGACTTGATAACTATGAAGTTTTGTCTATTAATCCTTTAATAACTTTAATAATGGAACTATCCTCTGCTGTAGCTTTGTCCTTAGGCAATTAATTTTTTTATATTGTTAAACAATAAACCTATTTAAAGACAAAAAAAACTTGAAGAGTTTATGTTTCCTCTGTTTATGACTTCTTAGATTATCATTTGCTACTTACCTCTCATGGAAACCATATATACAACTCACTAACAATTTTAAAGGAACAATTGATTCCATTTTCTTTCTCTATAAATCTCTTATTTTTACTTGTATGGAATACTGTTGTTATTTGGGTTGGCTCTTCTAATGATGCTCTCTCTTTTAGACAAGGCCCAAAAATGCATTAAAAATGTTCTTGAATCTGCTAAGCTTAAGTGTCTACCCTATTATCATAAGGTTTTCTTTCTAAATTTAACAAATTTTTAGCCCTTTAATTTACACCCTTTTATTGTAACTTTTCTTTTATGCTCAAAAAATTTTTATTTATCCAGCCTTCATGTTTTTCTGATGCACATACTTTACGTTTTTTTCATTTAACTGTTTTCTTGCACTTTAGTTCTTTACTTTGTTTTCTGTTAACTCCCAATTTAACTGGTTGTTGGAAGTAAATTCATCAAAAAAGTAAAAACATCAAAAGTATCAGCATTGTTTTCATTGAATCCATCTTTATCAAGGTTATATGTACAATCAAATTTATAGGCATATTGATTTATCTGACCATGTTTCTTAAATAACTGCATTTTTTGAAGTTTTTCCCTTTAGACCTTCTTCTTGATTGTCTTTTTTTCTAAGCTTCCTCACCATTCTGGCTTATTTTATAGGACAGTGTTCAAACTCATTTATAAATGATAACAAACATATTTATAGACTATAAAAATTTACATTCCCAAACATCTGCAGGTAACAGTTTGTCCTAAAAATTGCACCAACTCTGGCAGAGTTCATAACTAGGATCGGAATGATTTATTTGGAATAGAAAATTTTACAAAGAACCAAAAAAATGTTTTTTCACTCTAAAATTTTTACAGGAAATTCTCACCTAACTGTTTTAAAGCTAAGAGTATATGTAATGTACCAACATATTCACTATAGACAACATTGTTCTAATGTTAACAGGATAGGAGATTTCTAAAAACCCATTCTTTCTCCATGTCTGAAATAAAGGTCATAAGGAAGGTCAAAGGAAATAAAAATTTCTCAAAACATTTGCATTCATAATAAACTTAACTTTACAAATAAGTATATACTTTTTTGTGTAATATTAGCAACTCAATATTTAAAAGTAGTTGAATAACATCAACAGTTTGATGTGGAAATAATTAGCAGCGTTTACAGCACAAAGTTCTGATTATATAACCTTGAAAATACATATATATATATATATACATTTATATATATATATATATATATATATATATATATATATATATATATATATATATATATATATATATATATATATATATATATATATATATATATATATATATATATATATATATATATATATATTAGTGATTTACCAATATCACTTTTTTGGCCAATATCGATGGATGGGAAAAGGCCGATACCGATGCCAATGAATTTACTAATTATTAAACAGAGTTGGACCCGATCTATCTGCTAAACTTGAGCCTCTTTCCCATCATTGTAAAATTGAATCTCTTTTTCTCTTCTACAAATACTATCATGGTTGCTACTCAAAAGATCTTTTATCTCTACTTCCATCAACCAAAACTCATTCTCACCTGACTCATCATTCATCAAAGTTTCATTCTTTAAGTGTATCTGTCTTTTCATGCTCCAAAAACTTTTATTTGTCTAGCTTATTACCCAGCACTTCTGAACTCTGTCCCATCTTCATGTTTTCCTGACTCATACAACCTTCAACTTTTTAAGTCTTCTGTCAACCGTTTACTTGCTCTATAACTCTACTCTTTTTTTCTAGCAACTCCCAACTTGATAGCGGTTGCTTGCAGCTTTGTTGGGAGTAAAAAAGAATTTTAAAAATATAAATAACAATGCTTAAATAGGTTACTTTTAAAGCTTTTGGCTGTAAACAAAGTCAAAAAAAAATTTATCCAAAAAATTCTAAGTGATCCATAAAGTTTAGTTTATTTATTGTTTAAGTATTATAATAATGCACAATAAAAATATTAAAATGTCATCGGTTGAAAAAGGCCGATGCCGATTCTGATTGTACAAAAAGTGACCGATTAAGCCGATGCCAATGCCAATTAATCGGTACATCATATATATATATATATATATATATATATATATATATATATAAATAAATATATATATATAAATAAATATATATATATATAAATAAATATATATATATATAAATATATATATATATATAAATATATATATATATATATATATATATATATATATATATATATATATATATATATATATATATATATATATATATATATATATATATATATATATATATATATATATATATATATATATATATATATATATATATATATACATACAGGGCTCAATTTTCAATCAAAACAAGGGCTCAATGTCCAATCAAAACTTGTTTGGGTTGGACAGTGTCCGATCAAATTTTTAAAATATAACTTTTACAATTTTATAGAACCGAGTTATGCAATGAAAATATTTGTCAAGTTATTCAGTTTATTTAACATTAGTCTAGTGATGTTTTAGTTTCTTTCTTTACTATTTAGAATAATTCATCGTAGATTTTTGTTTTTTGATTAAATAGTTTCAATTTAATATTTTACGTTTTTTTTAGATAGACTGACAATCCTTATTATTTTTTTCTTTACAATCTGACAACTGTTTTGTTTTAAAAATTTATATACAATTATTGTTACAGTATGAATATTATACAAAAATCGTTACAATATGAATAACTTTTGATAATTGATCTTTATTAAAGTTTTTATTTTTTGCAAAGGTTTTAAATAAAATCAAATAAAAAATTAATTATAATAATCGTTTAAAAATAAACGCATTATGTGCAAATTAAATGTTATATTTAAATTTTTTTATTAGGTATGTATTTTTTATGAGAAATTTAAACATTTTTAAGAAATTTAAACATTTTTTTCCATATCGTTCTAAAAATCTTTTAAAATAATATTTTTTTAAGTTACTTTAAATTATGAATAAATTAAATTAAATCTTCCCATGATTTAATTTTTTTTTGTTTTTTTTTTTGTTTCTATTTTTACAAAAAATTGTTTAAAAGTTTTTTTTTAAACTTGACTTAACTAATTAAATAATGAAATGATTATAAATTACGATATTAAAAAGACAACCTTATTTTTTTAAACAATTTTTTGCAACTTTTTGAAAAAAAATTTTATGCAAATTAAAAATATTATATATTTTTTCTTTTCAATAATAAATAAATTAGTTCATTTATTAAACAATCAATATCTTTTCCTCTTTTGATTATAACATTTCTATTAACTTTCGTTTTTTCTTTTTTTCTTTCTGGATAGTAGCAATTATAAGCCTTGGTTGGAATAGCAAGCTATAGCTTGTGCCTATGCTCGTTTAAGTAGACAAGGCTCCTGCAAATGCAAAAAATTTTCTACATACATGAAATCTTATTGAGTTTTTTTTTTAATCGTGTGTTATAAATTTAACCAGTAATATTATATATTTTTATACTTGAAACTAAAGGATAAAAAACTTTTCAACTTTTTTATATCTTTAGTGGTTACAAGACTAATTATAGTTTTTATAAGAAAACTATAGTTGTAACAAAATAGAACTATAATTGTATTTATATAAGATTGCATTTAAAATTTCATATTTATATTGCGCCATTTTCTTTTGTGTAGAACTATAAAACATGAGTAAAACATTAAATGAATGAGTAAGATACTTTGATTTTGAAAAAAGATTTTTGAAATTTTGAAAAGTTTTTAAAAAGTTTTGAAAAACTTTGGTCTTTCAAATAGAAAAATCATAAGTTAATTAAATAAGTTAAAGTAAAGTCATTAAACTATTTTAATTTTTATTAAGCTCAAAATTTTGTCCTTAATTGTATGATTACTAAAATGCCTTCTTTATGATTAATAAAATTAATTTTTTACAAGTTAAAAAAATTCAAACTTTTAAAAGTTTATTCAATAATAATTTTGTTGTATTTATATAACTTTTGTTCAATTATTGAGTAAATTTTGTAAAGAATTTTTTATTGACATCATTTTTAACAAATTCTTATTTACTTTCAAACTTTTTATTAATGTTATTGTAAACTAATAATAAACTATAAAACACATATATTTCAAATTAAAAAGTGTTTTTATCACACTAAAATCTATTTTTCAAAACAATGTCACATGATTATGCAAGTAAAATGGTTATATTTATAACTTATAAAACACAATTGAATCAAAAAAAACCTAAAGATTACCAGTATAAAATATTGAATTACTAACTTATTTTATTTGAAGTGTTCTGATTTTAATAGATTAAAACCCCTTCTGATATATTTCAATTCATTAGTATACAACAAATGTCAGCAGCAGTATGTAAATTCTGCTATATAAGAGAGCAATTTATGACTAATATATAAATATTAGTCTCAAATTACTTAATATAATATAATATAATTTTTTTGACATATATATGACATATATGTCAAAAAAAATTTATCGAAAAATCACCCCTGGAAAAAGGAATTTTTTTATGCCTTAATTTAAATTTTTTACCCAGATTATACTTTCTATATCAAATTTGCATCAAATTTTTATAATAAGAAATTCGTATTCATATATTTAAAAACAAATATTCATTGAATCAGAAAACATCAAAAAAATCACCCCCCCCTTTTTTTTTATCAACTTTTCTGTTGTATGAATTAGTTAAATTGCAAAAGAAAAAAAAATGTAAACAAACAAATTTGATTGATTGAAGTTATTGAAACTGAATTTTTTTTTATAAGTTCTTGGTAATAAAATCATGGTAAAAAAACTTGTTCAAACTCAGGAAAAATAAATTCAGGAATAAATAAAAGATTTGATCGTGGAACACTATAAAAGTTGAAAAAACTATTTCTAAATTGCAAATGTTAAACCTAATAATGTAGGAAACATTATTAGAAAATTTAAAAAAAAGTGAATATCATCAAAAGCTTGCTAAGAAAAGGACGCCCAGCTAAGACCACTATACACAGAGAGATTTTTTGGAAAATTGAACAAGATCGAGGACTATCTGCATCAAAGATAGCAAAAGATTTATAAACAAATTATAGAAAAATTGTAAATCTTCAAACTGTTCACAATGGCTTAAAAAATCAAGGTTTTATAGGTAGAGTTGCCCTAAAAAGGCCTTTCTTCAGTATCAAAATCTAAAATTCTTCAGTAAAAAGAATCAAGAGAAAACATAGGAATACGCAAGGAACATTTGCAATGAACTCTCAACCAATGACGGTACATTTATGGTCAGATAAAACAAAAATGTTTGCTTAGTTCTAATGAGATAGTACACAAATGGAGAAAAATTTTTTAAAAATTCATTAATTATAATTCATATGTTTATGTCTCATAATGAATTACATATAAAAAAATTTAGTTAAAATAAGATAGAATCAAGAAGACTTGCAACTTTCAAATTTTGCACTTTATTATGGTTTATTAAAGGTAATCCCACTTGAAGCAATTGACTTTTAACTAAAAAAAGTTTAAAATTGCAGGTGCCTAGTCACCAGAATTAATTTCTAAGACCTAACCTAAGAAGTTAGATTGGGTTCTTTAGACCACCAGATCAAAACTTGTTTCTCCTCGCAGTGACCATGTTTATCAAGGTTTGTGTTGAATTACTGTTTTTTAAAGGGCAGATTTGCTTAAAATGTTTTGAGCAAATTTGCCCTTTAAAAAATATTGACTCAACTAAAGACAACTATCATTGCGTGTGAAAAACTTGACTTACAATGTGTCAAGTTTTTTGACCTGCTGTGGGTCAAAGTATAAAAATATAAATTTCTTGTTATAAAAATATTTTTCCTTGTTATAATTTGACACAATTCAATATAAAAAAAAAATCTTGGTAAAAAATTTAAATTTAAGCATTAAAAAAATTCCTTTTTATTAAAAAATCATTAGGGGATGATAGATACAGCATCAACTACTGTTAAAATACTTACACAAAATCGAATTGATATGAACACAAGTGAAGCAGGAAAAAAATAAACTGTACATGTAATAAATATACCAATTAAACTCTCAACTATGTTTTTGCTTATGCAGATTTATTTAAAACACATTATCAAGGCACTGCTCTACAACTAAGCACTGTTAACACAACTTTTTTTTAAAAAAGATTTTAGATACAAATATATACTTGTTATTATTACTATTTTTTTATACTTATATATTTTAAAATTTATAAATTTTATAAACATTTTTATAAACTTTTTATTTTATTTCTTTCGCATTAATGCAAAGTTATATTTTACCTGGAATATATAACATGTGGAAAACCTTTCCTGCCAGCAACTTGCAATCGTCCGTCAAGAGTTCTTTGTATAGTAACACATTTGGTTGGATGAGCTCCCGCTGTTGTTATAGAAGTTATCAAAGCTTCAAGTTCATCTTTTTTCTCTTTTAATTTTTTTACCAATGACTCAATTGCTCTTTTAGAAAATGTCTCTGACTCACCACCCTGCCTGTGACACATTAAACTATGCACAATGCTTAAGCATGCATCATTTGACGATGGAGTTGGTGCAGTCATCGTGTTATACCATTATTTACTATTTGAAAATACAAAAAGCATAACCAGCTTGTTAAACTTTTTGCTTTACGCTATACTTATAATATATTATTGATGGTTATTTTCGCTAAGCGTAAAATATAGTGCGAAAAATTAGGATCAATAGCCTTTATCTGGCGTCTTCGCCGGATAAAAGCCATTGATTCACCAAGTGTGGAAATGTGAATATAAAGGAATATATTATTAGATCATTGATAAATCTATTCCATTTCTTTGTATAAATAAAAACAATATATGTACTATATATACACAATACAAAGGCGGATATTAAGCAGACCCCCCCCCCCTCTTAACCAAAGTTAAATGAAACAACAAAATAAATAATGATTATAAATCATTATTTATTTTGTTGTAAATAAATTGTTGTAGATATAGTTTATAGTTATGCTAAACAGAGCCGTTCTAAAGATATTCTAAAGGGGGAGACGCATCTGTTTTTCGCCTACTAAGGCCAAAAAAAATAAATTACCAACTAAGGCCTGAAAAAAAAAGGTCCCTGTTGGCTGACATTTGCCGACTGCCAATTATAAGTACAAATTTATCGATTAATTTTTTAATAAAAATTTCCTAAGGGTTCAGACACCGTTTATCTTGCAAACCAGATATTTCCATAAAATATCTGGTTTGCAAGATAAACGATTAAATTGTTTATGAGGAAAACACTAAAGATCTTACTGCGGATTACAAACAATATTTTAAAATTTATTCAAAATGTAATACACCTATCAAAATTTTATATGTTTTATAATTTAATATAATATAATTGATATATTATGGAATTATTTAGCTTTAACAGGGGCGGATACAGGTTGTAAAGATAGGGGGGCACAAATGGGGTGGGGTTTAAGGGGAGGGGTATCCCCCTCCCCTTCTGGGGTCTATAATCAGCCGCCAATGATTTTTAATGAAATGACAACCCAAAATGGACAGTTTCCAGTACCCTTTTCTAACTAGTTTTGTTAATATAACATTTGCAAAATCATTGTTTTTTTTCCAAGAATGAATAGCAAAAACACTTTCAATTCTCAACATTTATAGAGTGAATATCTTTTATAGAGTGAATATCTGACCTGAGAATGGATCGACATAATTATAAATAAAAAATTAATCAAATTTTAGGGGAGGGGGGGGGCACGAGCCGGCTGTGCCCCCCTCTAAATCCGCGCCTGTTTAATTTCCAGACCTGTTAAATTTCAAGTTAGATTAGATTAAAAAGTATTAGAACAGTGATACATGTTCTAAAGGACACGCAGCTCCATAAAATATGAAGGACTCTGACAACGTGCCCTACAATCACATAATACATATGGTAGATAATTTAAAATATATATTACAATTATATATAAAACCACAGTTGTAAAACAAAAACCAGTTAGCCGGAACAGTATTTTTCAAAGTCGATAGAGTTAACTTTAATTTTGAAGCTCTTTAGATTTTTGGCGTTTAAGACGTCAGACGGCAAGTTATTCCAAATATTAAAAACCCTGAGTGAGAGTGAGTAACAAAACTAGTTAGAAAAGGGTACTGGAAACTGTCCATTTTGGGTTGTCATTTCATTAAAAATCATTGGTATTTACGGACATCGAGTTTACATTTTAGTTTGCGTAATTTGAAATTATGTATATAAATATAGTTGTTAAATAAAAAGAAACTTGATTTATTTAGGCAAACTAAATTGTTCAGAACTTTGTAACTTTTTATCATATTTTGCTTAAGGCGACGAATTTCTAGTAGTTCCAAACCAAGAATTCTAAGTCTATTTGAATATGAAAAGTTATTTAGGTTAGCAGTCCTCTTGGTAAAACGTCTTTGTACTCTTTTCACTATATTGTTCATTTCAGTGCGATTTGGCGACCAAACTGGAGAGCAATATTTTAAGATCGGTCTTATATAAGTAGTGTAGGCTTTAACAATAATAAATAAATCACGACTTTTAAAACACTTAAGGATTAGATAATCTCGAATGTTTGATGCGCGGACGATATTTAAAATATGATTATTGTAATTCAAGTAAGAATCCATGGTCTCACCAAGATCTTTTGGGTTTGTAGACCAGGCTAAATTATGATCTCCTAATTGATAGTTGTAATTTATATCTTTACAAAATGAAGTAGGTGCTATTCTTTGAGTAAAGCACTTATTATTGGCTACTATTAACTGCCATTTATTTGACCAGAGATAAACTTTATAAATGGCTACAGCAAGATCGTGACTGTAATCGGCATCCTTAAATGGACTATATAGCTTGATATCGTCAGCATATAACATTAGAGAGCAATTACATTTTTTTACTATAGAGGGTAGATCATTAATATATAACAAGAATAACGTTAGACCCAAAACGCTACCCTGTGGAACTCCACTTAGGATGCTGATCGGATTGGATAGTGAATTTCCAACCAGAACTCTTTGATATCTGTTAGAAAGTAATGCTGATATCCAATGAAGCAGATTATCTATTATGCCGTACATTGCAAGTTTTTTCAAAAACTTTTTCACGACAGCAAGTACATGTGAGGGAGATAGGTCTATAATTGTTAGCATCTGAACTAGATCCTTTTTTAAAATTAGGGGAAACCGAAACTTGAAGCCACTGTTTTGGTAACGAGCTTGACGTAAAACTTGATTCAAATATATATGAAAGCGGATTACATATTATATGTGCTAACTGTTTTAAAAGTATATTCGGTATACCGTCAGATCCAAATGATGTGCTAGGTTTTAGATTTTTTAGTTTTTGATAAATTATCTTTGCTGAAAAATCTACGATATCCATCTTAATATGTTTACTAACAAAAGTATTTATTTTAGGCAAACTTCCGTGATCTACGGTAAAAACACTTCCAAAGTGTTTGTTAAACACTTCCGCGATTTCAACATTGTTAGTAGTAAAGTTGCTATTTGTTTTTAGAGGATATATTTTTTTGGAGTTGTTTAGATTTTTATTTACGTAACTAAAAAACTTACTTAAGTATTTGACCAGTTCTTGAATAGGAAACAAATTGTTTAAATCTTTTTATGAAAAAAATAGGTTCATTTACAGATGAATTGGAGCTTTCCGTCAACGAACTTCGGTGAGCGTTTATTATGCTAAAAACAAACAGATGCGCGGGTCTGAATGAAATTAACCTTAATTAAAAGTCTCTTATATTATTCAGAAACCTCTATTTACAACTTTTTATCGCCATCTTTCCTGACTAATTAAAATTAGCAAAAAAAAAAATCAATACATAAAAGCGGCGATGAAATGAATCAAACTGCAACGAATATTCATACTTTTCGGTTATTCCAAAATACTTGAGCATATCATGTGTAACAGACTATTTAAATTTCTTGAAAAAATTAACATTCTTTATCATAAACAGTGTGGTTTTCGAAAAAACCCTTCCACAGAACAAAAAGGGATAAAATTTTCCTGTCACTCAAAAATGCATAAGAACATAAATATTATTGTAAAAATACATTTAAAATAAAACAATTTGTAATCTCTGTAAATTATTATTCAATCTAACAGATTTAATTTAAACAATTTAGTTGCTTAAAATTAATTAATTTAAATAATTAATTTATTAATCTTAACGTGTTAAAAATAGGGCTAAATAAGGCCTTCAACCAATATGGGCTAAAAATAACTAATTAGTAATAAATTTATTATGTATTATTTTGAAAGGTTAATTAATTAATTTTAATCATTTCTTATATTCTGATATATTGGGGGAAAAATAATGAAACAATGTTATTATTATTTATGAATTAACAGATTTTTTAAATAAATTGGTGATACCAAGGCCCTTATTTATTTTGAATAAAGGGAATGTCGAGAGAGTTGCTGTTTTGATAAGCTGCAGAAAAGAAGAGCAGTTAATTAGAGTGCAAAATCGGTTTATGCAGCACTTGAAGAAGGGGGGCGCACTACACAAAATTGAAGCAATGTGTTTCGATACAACTGCCGTAAGTACAGATTGTATTAAGGGTGAACAAAAGGATCAACCCTTTATTTGTTTAATTGTGAATGAATGCAACATGAAACTATTAATAACATTAAGTGAGACCTGATGTATAGAAAAAAGATGTGGACTATTTCATTTCACCCCTATCAATCAATTTGTTTAAGAGGTTCAATATCAACACAGAGTTCTTACATATTGATCCGGAATCATGGAGTAAAATCCAAGAATACTTAAGAAGTCACAAAATTGTGAACAGTTTAAGAGTCTTAAATAATATAGCCAAAAGAGGTATCAAATTAATAACCGATTTTAATTCGTGCATTACAAAAAATGAAGAACAGAATGAAAATATCTTTTGCAAGTTGTGTATAAATGTCGAGCGAAATTTTCCTGATGTTCTAAAGCCTCCTTATCTAAACCACTGCTTTCTAAAGCCTCCTTATCTAAACCACTGCTTTCTAAAGCCTCCTTATCTAAACCACTGCTTTCTGCTCATCAAAAAGTGTATCAAAATCTAAGAAAAATGTCTTAAAAAGTAGCTAATTGTGAATAAAAATCTGTTCCTTCATAAATAATAATAATATTGCATATTGTTTCATTAATTTTCACCCACTGTAAAAGCAAAAAAAACAAATTATAAGTATTAATTAAAATTAATTAATCATTCAAAATAAAACGTAATTAATTAATTATTAATTAATTAATTATTACCTCTTATTGGTTGAAGGCCTTATATAGCCCTTTTTTTTAACACGTTAAGATTGTAAGTTAATTATTTAGTTAATTAATTAAATTTAAGCAAGCAGATTGCTTAAAGTAAAATTGTTAAATTATATTTCAAACAATAATTTACAAAGATTACAAATTGTTTTATTTAAAAGGGAATTTTTACAACAGTGTTTTAGTTCTTGTTCATTTTTGCGTGACAAGGAGATTTGAGCCCTTTTTTAATCTACTTATGTAAAAATCTAAATATTTCAGAAACTATTGGCTGTAGCTAAAATGAAAAAATAATGAAATTCAAAGAGAATAACCTAGTGAACAAAATGAGACCCATATCACATTTATAGGTTTTCATTTTACAATAAAAAATTTTCCTAAGTTTTTCAATTTTCCCGGACTTCATCCTCAATGAG